GAAAGAGTACTCCATAAAGCTTTATCACAGTCTGTCTACGTATGTGTGGCTTTCAAACAAGAACATGAGACCTTTATGAAGAGTAATCATGAATCACTGGGGATTATAATTTACAGTACTATTTCCCCTTAAAGTGGTTATAAATGTAGCTATTTATTCTTAATAGTTTTTACATTCTCCTCAAAATGCCTGTATAACATCTGTCTGAATTTGTGATGGCATAGTCTGTAATACATACAGGCAGCTATATCATTATATAATTTATTTCATCTATGGTATTTTGAAATTTCAGTGTGGGGTCTGATTGTGGTCTGATTTCTTACTGACAACATTATTAAGGGCGCAAAAGAAATCTGAGAAATAGTTGAACTATGGATTTTGATAGTGGCAATGCTACATGAAAAGAACATAAATCAACACCATAAACAACTAACACTTCATTAATAATTTCAGACGTCATAGGGAATTGCAATTATCTGTATAAGAATTTTGCTGAATTAGTATAAATTTAAAAGACTACTCAATTTTTAATTTTTTTTTCCATTTAGAGCTTCAGGCTGGTAATATTTTTCTTTACATTTCTCTACTGCAGAATGAGAATTTAATGAACTTTAAACTGATAATAACATTTTATATTATGAACAAGTTTAAGGAGGCCAGGAAGTCAAGCCAGGCTGTATCAATGGCATTATTTTTTATTTTTGCATTCACTTTAAAATGTTTGCCTCTATGTAAAGGTTTGTGAACATGAGCTACTGAGCTTTTAGGAAAACAGTTCCTTCTACTGTCCTGCATAACAAACCTGATTGGTAGCTTCATCCTTAGCACTCAGTGATATCACAAACTCGTGACTTCTTTTGATTTTTTTTTTTTCTCCCTTTTAGTTTTTATACCAGATTAAACTTGCACATGTTGTGTACTTACAAATGTTTTACCATAAATTACTGAAATGTAGAATTATTTTGTTACCTGAATATCCTCAAGACTTGGTCTCAAAACAACATTTGGAATAGCCAGTTGAATTTCAGCTTTGAACAAGGGAAGCCTCTGTGTCTCTACAAACTTGGTCATCTGATACCTAGAGTCAACAACACGCAATCGATGTCTTAAGAACTCTAAAGAAATCTTCGTGCCTAAATAAATATAATATTTAAGTGAGGTTACACTTTTTACCAAAGTAAGCTTGGGAAAAAAAACCAAACAAAACACTACTACTAAAGAATTGAACGTATCTGAAAAAGGCAGACTCACATCTGACTAAAGAGTCAGTATTCTTCTGATAAAGCTGTCCCATCAGATTATAGTAACTACAGGACAGGCATTCTTGGCAGCGCGTTTTGCGTTTCTTGTCAAGATGTGCACAGGCGTATGAATCCTGAAGAGTGAAAGGCAAATTCTGAGGAAAATATTATCCACTATTTAAGTGAAATATCAAGTATCTGACTTAAGTTAAAAAAGACTATTTTTTACATCAGAGAGGTCTTACCTCCAGAGTTCTTCCAGCATCTGTTTTCAGCCTGTGCTTAAGAATATCTACCAGTTCATACATAGAGCATTCCACTTGCTGACTCTGCCTACAAAAACAACCTTACGGTCAACCACAGGAAATGCAACACAAGAGATACACTTTATTATTTTCCAGGCATACACCCCCCAGTTCTGCTGCACTGCAAAGAACTGCATATGCAGGGAAATGCCCTTATACTTTTCAATTTGTTCCTATCGCTTGGGCATACAGACAATGTAAGAAATTAAAAAATGAAGACTATAAAAAACCACATTGGTTAGATATTGCTATATCTTATTTGACTGGACTTAATAATAATTTTTAAAAAGAGGTTTTTTCCAACTTTAATTAAAAAAGCAGGCTGCTCATGATGATGCAGTGAGACAATATGTGAAAACAGAATTAGTAAAATAAAAACAACGAAAAAAAACCCCCAAAAACCCAGAAAGTATCTTATTTTGCACAATGAGTATAGACATATTTTTGGAGAACAACTGAACCACTGTTCTACTACAACCTTGGAAATAAGCATAGGCCAAAAAATTTGCAGCACTGAAAGAAAGGGAAGTTTTACATCAGCTGGGCAGCATTAAGAATCAGGCAATTAACAACAGGATGAGATTTCAAGTCTTATCCATCTTCTTTTTTCTTCGTACTGATTAGAAAGCCGGAAGAAGAAAATATGAAATGCTAAATACTACAGATGCAATTTTACATCTGCTGCATTCAAGACACTCTTTTTACCTTAGACTAGTACTCTGTTACAATAAAAATTTAAAAGTAAACTCTCTGTGCATAAACAAGCAATACATAAATAATCCCTCCCAAATATGGCCTTCAAACCGGTGCAACTGATACTGGCTCCTTGCTGCTTGTGCTCAGCTGCTTTCCTGAGCGACTGCCCGAGATGTGGCTGCAGCAGTGCTGGCCCACTGCATGTGCTGCTTCCCAGAAAACAACAAGCAGGGATGAATCAATGCACATCTGTATGGCACATGGAAAGTAAGCCTGACGTGACTAGATGCGTGTGAGGTGGCCAGGACAGGTAATGAGCAGGGTTCAGCTGTTTCTGCTGGAGAATTCCTTTGGTCTTCAGGTTTCTGTCCACGAGGCACGTACAGCAACAATCCGGAGGCTGGTGGTCGGGGTCCAGTTACCAGAGGTTGGGGGGGCTCACCGGGATGGGACTGGGGACAGATTGGACTCCTCCCAGTCTGTTACTGGGAGAAGAGGAGCCTCTGTGGGTACT